TTATCCATGGACATACTACCGTACCAAGCAATGATACAGAAAGTTAAAACAGATTCAATAAAACTTTTATAAAAGAGAGTCATCATTTCAGATGAAACATTAAAACCTCTCAACCTCCTTAAAAAGTACAGTCTTTGTTGGGCCTTTTTCACTGTAGCAGCAAGATGTGACTCAAAGGACAGGGTCTTATCAAGAACAACCCCCAAGTTGTTATGGACTTGTGATATTATATGTCTTTTTGGTGTTGCTGCCCCTCTTCTCCATGTTTGTAGATATGAGTGTGTGTGTGGGTGTGTATGGGTGCAGGTGTGTCTGAACACTTGTTTACAGGCGCCTTCAGGCCTGGTGGGTGTGGCCCTGCTAGGGGACTGGCCACACCCAAGCCACACACCTGCTGCTGATCACGGCTCGTCGGGGGAGCTACTTAGGAGAGTCTTGGAGCTCCCACCGATGTGGGATCATTGAGTTAGACGCCCAAGTCAGTGTTACTCCAGGAAGTACTGATCGTGTTTGCCCGCAGGGGTCAGTGTCTAACGGCTGCTTCCATTGTTTTCCCTGCAGGAGGAGCATGGAGAGGAAGGACAGCACGCACAGGGTGTGCACAGTCACGACAGCGGGGCGCACGAACACGGACGCCACTGGAAGACACACGCGGGAGTCTTGGGGAGCACGGGGATTAATTGTGCATCAGTATTTACCGCACTGTAAATAAACGCACAGTCTACACACAGAGCTCCGCGCTTGGGTCCTCACTCCCTACATCCCCACGGTCTGCCAGCCAGACCGTGACAATTTCGGCTTGATTTTTGGTAAATAAATAATAAATAATGAAACACTGCATGTGTTGGTGCTCATCTGAGGTTCTATTTACCTCATTGTGGGACCTGATGCATAAAACCTTAGAATTCAAAGATGGTGTACCTTCTGTTTTATTGCCATGACTGTACATATGAGTCTGTACAACCCTATAGAGAGCCAAAAAAAGCCTTAATGCAACGCTAATATAAAAAAAGGGTATGAGTCAGGTTGCCAGGAACTTTCTACATCAATAATTCATAACACTCTGTATCAGCTCAGGGCACACAGGGTGAAGGATATTTTCTCATCCCCACAACACCGTCTGCATCCCTGATAAGAACCTGTTGGCAACAATAGCGATGTCTGCATTGTTTTGTCTCAAATGTATTTCGCTTATGTCACAGAAGAGAACATGTAGCTCTGTGTCATCTATTCAAGCAGAAGCAGGACATTTTTATAACATCATATAAATGTGGCAGAGTGAAGTGCGATACTATGGAGCGCCTGGTGTTACTTCATGTATGATAATACAAATGCATTTGAAAAAGAACATTGCTGCTGTCAATTCCATCCTCTTATTCCTGGTGGCACTCAATTGGATACTGTACAGTGTGCCTCCTCTAATGTGGATTTCTCATGATATTTTTAATTATTTTAACATATGTGCACAATACGTGCCTGTAAACCACATATGTGACGACAGCGTGAGACAATAGGACACAATCTGTTACTGGAAACATGCATCTCTCTCTTTTGCACACATCCATGGAGAACAAATGTGCATGTAAAATATATATTTCCTACATTTACTACACAGAGTTTATGGGTTTCGACTGATGTGTGGTAGTGCAGAAATGTTAGCTGTGCCAAATCACAGAAAAAACAAAAAAATGCTTTCAGTTTTATCAAACCAAGACTGTGCGCTGTTCCAGGAAAACTACTGACCTCCAGGGGAGCTTCTTGACTGGGGTGGCAGGTAGCGTCGGGGCAGTGCCGGAGTGGAGGGGGGCTGGAGGCTGTTGCTGCGACATTGTGCCCCTCTCTGGTGATCTGTTGACGCAGTGCCAGTTGTCACTCTATGAAGAGGAGGCTCCTCACTCACACTCAGACCTAGAATACAAAAAAAAAAACCCCAACTCATTACCTTCAGAGTTTTCTGCCCTATTTTCTGTATTTCACATCTCTTGCGATCACATATTATTCCTATAACTGGACAGGGTTATATTCTGACTGAATTTAGGGTCACTGGACCGGGAAATGGTTTCTAACCTCAGGGTCTCACTGCTGCTGCCCCCAATTTCTCGTCCGTTAACCTGGGACATACACTTGTCTTTCATATACCCACACAATCTCAAACACACACACATACAGGGATTTGTTTACACAGGGAAACATCGACAGGCATACAATACTTGGAACATGTATACTTGCAGTGATTACTGCTCTTCCTGACTCTTAATGGAGCTCTAATCTATTGAAAAACTGACAGATAGTTTACACACTCTCTCTCGCACGGCATAAATCCTGCTCATCTCCCCGTTCCTGATCAATAGTGACACAAGAGATTACCGGCATTTCTCAAGCTTCAAAATTTTTCCATCAAACAGGGATTAAGAATTGGTTTTAAAGCTGATCGAAAGAAGCTATGAAATTATCATTAAGCCATTTAGCACAACTTGTACCTCACTGTAACGCAAGTTGGTAACTTAACAACACAGAAAAAAAAATCCTGTTTGAATGTATCTATCAATCCTTTCCTTTGACCAGCCGCAAGCCCATAGTGACTGCAAACTGACTTTGCTCTTTGATGCATGAATATTGTGCAAATATAAAAACAGCAATATTATATGTAATATTCCAGAAGCAGGAAACAACCTGGACAGGTCACCAGTCCATCACTGCAAACTCTCACATCCACCCCTACAGCCAATTTAGAATCACCAGTTAACCTTACTAGCATATCTTATTGTTCACTGATTTGTCAGCACACAGTTGACATATGTTGCATTCCCCAAGCTTCCATATTATCCCAGAGCTCCTCTGGGAGTTCATTACTAAGGCTGCTGACAGTCTGACAGCATTTCTTTCTCATTAACCAGCTGAAGATATGGTCAGTTTATCTCATTCAAATCTAATCTTGGAGAGAGGAGTGGACTACGTTCACAGAGCTCTGTGGCTCAACCTGTCAGCATCCTTTATATTAGAGGTTTAAAAGATGAAAACCTAGCCTAGAACATTTAAACTGAGTTGACATAGATCAGTTGGCTGGCTGATATAAACAGAGATGAGCTCATTCGTCAGAGGTCAAATATGGACAAATGAACTCCCGGAGCACAGAGAGGAAGAGAAAACGATGATGTGGGGAATACAAAACTGGGGAATGCTGTGAAAGAGAAGATGGCGACTATTTTGAGGGCTCAGAGAAGGAGAAAAGGGGGGATGCATTTCATTATCAAGCTGATATGCATCACTTATTGGCTAATTGCCAGCTGATGATGGATAACAGAGAAAGAAAGAGGGAAAAGGCTGGATGCATGGAATTAGGAGGAAGGCAACAAAAGGATATAAAAAGACCTACAAGGAGCAATAATTGGTGCTGCAATGGAGCCGGCAGCAAGCTTAGTATTTTATAGAGGCGGATGAAAAATAGCAAAGAAATGAAAAAGGGACCATGAATAAGAGGAAACAGCTGGGAACAAAAGACAGCAGGCTTTTGTTCTCAGCGGGAGGCCATTTTATTGGATGGGTTTGTTCCTCATAGCTAAACCAAGACCAGCAGAACTGACCTGGCTTTTTGGTTTTCACTGGTATTCACTGGCAAAAACGACATTTTAATTTGAAAGTGAAATAGTCAAATGCTTCGTTCTCACTGCGACATGAACTCTTTGGTGTTTTTCACATTCACATTTATAGCACGGAACTGATCAAGCCCATTCACGTTGAAAGTAACCCAGGGGGAATGCATCCAGGTGCAAAGATGCATACGCAGGCGCTGATGTAGGAGCTTGCAGTGCAGCTTGCAGTGCTGACATGGCAAATCAATAGCCCCCCTTTTTTTCCCTGAAAAACACCTACCACCCAACAAAAAGGCGAATGATGTATTATGTATTATATGAAAAGAAGAACCATGCGGTAACAGATTCTTTGAGATATTTGTAAGATAACTAATGAAGCAGGTAAATTGGTCCTGTTTTAAGTCAGGGCAGCACGGTGGTGGTTAGCACTGTTGCCTCACACCAAGAAGATCATGACTTTGATTTCACCATATTTCCTTCACATCCTTTCCTTTCCTTCACCAGCTCTCTCCCAAAGACAAATAACCTAGTTGGGTTAGGTTAACTGCTGATTCTAAATTGTCATAGGTGTGAATGTGAGAGCATATTGTTGTCTGTCTCTCTGTGTTAGCCCTGCAACAGACTGGCGACCTGTCCAGGGTGTACTCTGCCGTTCATCACATGTTAACTGCGATAGGCTCCTGCGTCCCTGATAAGAACAAGTGGAAGAGTATAGATGTTTTAAGTTGTGGTTTGTGAGCATTTCTCGTTAATACCTACTGAGCTGGAGGTACTCGTGTCCTGTATATAAATAGATGAAGCAGCCTCACAGTGCGCAAATATTTCATTTAAAATCACTGCACTCAAACTTGTACTTGAAGAACAAAAGAAGTACAAAAAGTATTCATGTTGACACAATGAACAGATATCATCGTTTCCCTGTTAATATTATTATGTTTAACTTTAAGTTAATGTTAATTAATGCGCTTTCTTTGCGTTTTAATCAATAAATCCATTCCTTTATTTTATCTCACTTTTTTTTGTTTAACAACAAAAGTACAAATACCTTAAGACAGAGATTACACCTTGCGCCTTAAAATGACTGAGTTTAAGTCATTAAAAGAAATAATAATTAAATAATATTTTTATTTTATTTTTAATAATAATTAAAAGAAATAATCAGAAAAACAAACAGCAAGAAATTAATTCACAAAGTTAAAAGTAACAGATCCAGGTTTGCTTGCACGCTGCTTTTGTAGTGTGATTTAAAACAAACTATAAGTGATGAGTAATGTAAGTCAGTGTGTAAACCTACTGAAAATTTTTTCCATTTATACACCAACTTTTAAGCCTAACCCTAATATTAACTTTTTAAACTTTTTTTTAATTAGACCACATGTTCTCACAGACAGATGTCAGTTTCCTTTAACACTGTTCAGTGCGAAAGACAGCGTGTGTAATGAAGCTTGAAACTCATATTCATCAGAGGCCATAATTTGTTCTGCTTATTAATGGCTTCCTGCTGATTCCTTCCTTCAGCTGGTTTTAAAGGTGGAATAAATGAAATTCAGAACAACTGTCAAAAGAAAAAAAAAATCTAGCCACATAAGGAAGGGAATTTGACTCCATCGACTCTATCCAGTATTTGTAGATGAACCAGTAAAATAATATTTGGAAGAAAAGCTATCTAAATAAAATCACATTAATAATATTAAATATTAAAAACTGGTCAACAAACAGATTAACTTGAATACTGGGTTTCCAAAGCATGCTAACAGAGTAAGATGAATAAAACATAGAATAAGATACAGATTTGATATTCAATATTCAGGTTACATTAATCGTTTTAATTGAAAGTGCAACCTGGAATTGACAAAGGAGGTTGATTGGTTCAAAATTAGAAAGTGTGGCTTTAAATATGCTCCAAACTGAAATTTATCTCAAGCTACCTTAACTTAAAACTTTAAGTTAAGATTGTCACCAAATGTCTTCTCATGGTAACTAAAAAACAGTTTGCAAATGCACGGAATTGTACATCCCACAATTCTCAGTTTTATATCAGGGAATAAAACGCTACAATCATGTGTGATGTTCTTGAAAGTCATGGTAAGGTTATATCTGAATATATAAATATCAAATTAATAACCCCACAGAGCAAAGGCATGGGTTGTAGACAGTCGAATTAAATGATAACACAGGAGCTGACGGCAGCAGCCTCGGGCCTCCTTTCCTCTCTTAGGACACAGATGCCAAGAGATTAAAAGTTCATTCCAGCTAAAAGGACAGCATTTCTCCTCTCATGGTCAACAAGAGAGAGATGCTCCTCTATGATAAGGAGCACTGACTGAAAGCAGTCAAATGGTAATTTAAAGTTCAGTCTTAAGAAATGACCTCAGAGTTAGACTGGAGGAAAAGCATTTTCTCTTGATTAACCTCCTAAGACCCGAACTCTTCCAGAGGATGCATTTTTAATTTCTCTTTGACATTTGGGCATATTGGGGCCCGATGAATGTAAAAACAAAGAATTATCAAATGTTTGTTTTTTTTTTTACCTGCTTTTTGTTTCTAAGAAAAATGAGAGCCACAAATGAAGATATTTGTTAGAATTTTGATAGAACAGTGGCAGTATAATGTCCTCGTAAGTGGATATCAGGCCCTTGTAGAGCATAAGTGAGTATTTTGGTCTAAATAAAATGTGATGTCCACACATGTGGACGCAGGGTCCTAGAAGGTTAAATATAACACTGCTGTTAAGCTCTTGATCAGTCTTGAAGAAAGAAGATTTCTGAAAATTCAAAGCAGGAGAGAATAAGCGAAAGATTTAGGATGGAGAGAGGAGGCAGTAGAAGGAGACCATCTGTTAACCACAGTCTGGGTTCAAAGTGACAGCCAGAATCATCCCTGCTGAAGTGTTCTTAAGCCGAGCCATTTGCTCTGCATTTCTTTCAGCTTCTGGTCACAAGCTTGGACAAAAACAGTCATTTCACTCACTGAGGCAACATCACGAGAAGTGAGCAAAGGCAGTCAGCACTATTTCAGCAGTACTCAGACTCTGTCTCCAGGCACTAAGCCTTTTACAGAATAAGTTAATGAAAATGCATTTACCACCATGGTGCTGCTATACCCGCCTGTTAGTTATTGACACTTTTTGGGATAATATCAAGCTCCCTGTTTAGGTTTCTGAAAGAACAAAGCAAAAAAAATAAATATTCATTTATTAATTTTACAAGCTCACATTTTTCAGCCACGAAATTACATATAACAAGTGTGACGACATTATTTATGTGTCTATAAAAGAGGTTGCCTTTGAGGCTGTGAAATAAAAAATATAATAAA